TCCATGGAACCGCAAGCATGGAAGGATCACACAAAAGGCATTTACAACATTGCCATCAGAATCATGCCTTGAATTCGGCACATTTATATTCTTTAGGTTAAACCCCCATTTTGGTCCCTCAACTATTGTACGGACCCCCGACTTAGTCCCTAAACTCAAAAAATCCCTGATTTGGTCCTTACTGTTTACTATTTTTACCTCAATTTAGTCCCTCCGTTAAAAATCCAATGACATGTCATGTTAATTAACTGAAGCATGATGATGTGTCAAAATAACGTGCCACATCAGATCCACGTATGAAAAAAAGTGATGACATGAAAAAAAAAATAATATGTCAAAATTTTTTTTTTAATTCTTATTTTTTTTTTCTTTCTTCTCCTTCCTTTTCTTTACCCCTTGGAACCCAACACACTTACTGGGTTCGTTCGAATCCAGGCGTGGAACCCAGGCGTCCTCCTGGGTTCGTTCCAAGCGTCCTCTTGGGTTCGTTCCAAGCGTCCTCTTGGGTTCGTTCGAACCCAGGAGGACGAACCCAGGTGTCCTCCTGGGTTCGAACGAACCCAAGAGCAAAAAGTAAAAAAAAAAAGAGAAATTTTTTTGTTTTCTGTGGATCTTGTTTGTTGTTTCATGATGATGAAGGAATTGATTGATGAAGCAGGCTAGGCAAGATGGGGAACTGGGAATTGGGAATGGGAAGAACGGGGGAGAAGAGTTCAAGATTTGCAGGAGGTGGGGCCCACTCTTTTTTTTTTTTGATTTTGGATCCGAATCATATTGCCATGTCATTTTTTTTAGAGGTGTGCATATGAGGTGTCATTCTATTTTGACACATCATCATGGTTCAGTTAATTAACAAGGCACGTCATTGGATTTTTAACAGAGGGACTAAATTGGGGTAAAAATGGTAAACAGTAGGGACCAAATCAGGGATTTTTTGAGTTGAGTGACTAAGTCAGGGGTCCGTACAATAGTTGAGGGACCAAAATGGGGGTTTAATCTATTCTTTATATCACCATGGACTTCCACATAATCATCAAGTTTTGCTTTACTAAACATTTCTGATTTATTGGATCTGCATTTTCTTAAACTTCACACCTTCCGTTTGACATTGTCATCACCAGATGAAGCAATACAACTTTCTTGCTTGCCATTTGCTTTAATCGCTTCATTTATCCTTGCATTTACTACATAATTACAATGTAATTTTCCCCTAGGAAGGATTTCAAACTGACTACTGAATACAGTATCTTCTTAATGCTGGACCTTTAAGCAGCAGCCACCATTCCCCTCTTTCACCTTTGGATAATGATATTTACTACAAATTTTTGAGACTAAAATTATAGTAATCATTAATTATTTATCTTATATGGGTTCACATGATCAATTTGTTAAAAAATAATATCTGAAGAATCAATAATAATTTTTTTTATCAATTATAATTATTAATGTGCATATTAATTATTGTTATTTACATAATGAATGGTGGCTAAAAAAAAAGGGGGTTTGTAAGTGGTATTACCTAATGATGGAAGAGCAGTGCCAGGGGCACTCGCTTTTTGCACTCTCCGGCCAACACTTCCCCTTTCATTGGGCCACGTAAGCTTCTTTAAAGCTTTCAGGGCAACCTCTCGGAAACCAAAATAACGTGGCCCAATAAAAGAGAAAGTGTTGGCCGGAGAGTGCAGGAGGCGAGTGCCCCTATCATTGCTCAATGATGGAATTGCAAGAAGACGAGGTTGGGCATCAGCCCTACTTTAAGCCTCAATAGATTAAGGTTGTAAGAGAAAAGGGAAAAAAAGAAAAGAAAAATCAAATGCTTAACCTTAAATCTTATTGTACGGACAAAAAATTAAAATTAGATTTGGAAAAAAAAAGGCCATACCTTATACATATATATTTTTGATTTTATCATTGATATTATTTATTATATTTTAATATACTTAAAATTTATCTTAAATTATCAATGAACTAAATTACTCAAAAATTTTTTTTTTCTGAAAATAAGAAGTTATAAGTTTGAATTACATAATATGTGAGTGTAATAAGATAAGAGATAAAAAATAATTATTTTTTATTATATAATAAAAAAAATATCTTATTAATTTTATTATGTATATATTTATTACAAAGGGCACAGCAAATAAAAATCCAAAACAACTTTTTATTACACAAAAAACAGAAAAGAGAGAGAGAGAGAAAAAAAAAAAAAAAAGTCAAAAGGGACCGTTGCAGCCCAGCCGGTATCATCGTATTTGAATTTCACTAGTTCACTCTTGGCCGACCGTGCCTGAAAAGAGCGGGGGATTTATACCAAATAAATTCAGCGTCATCTCGGCGCTAACTTATTGTTCTGATGTTTTAATTGGCCAGACACTGAGCTGACGAATTGAAGGAGGGATTCATACTTCTAGGGTTTTGCCGATCGCTCCTTCCATCTCCCGTTTCCGATCACGGGCGTTTGGTTCTCCTGGAACACCTCATCGGTCTTCGTCTACGATGATTCTAATGGCTTAACAACTCCTCCTTCCAGAGCAGACCGAATCGCTCTAAACCTTTCTCATTCCCGATCATGGCGTCTGGTTCCCCTCAATCACGCATCGATCAGGTATCTTCTCCGACCCAATGCTGGCGTCTTAAAAACCCTAAGAGTTCTCAATGGTCTTGAAGTCTTGTAGATGCGAACCGTTCTTTCGATTTCTTGTGTATTAAACTGTTAATTGTAGCGAACATGAAGTTTGTTTCTGAATTTATACCGCATTTTAGCAATTTGATTTACCAAAAATCCAACAGTCTCTTTCTTGTGGAGAAATTTGGCATGAAATTAGGGTTTCGTCTGACATTCCCTTCCCTGATAAGATTTTGTGTTTTCAAGATAATAGAAAAGAAGAAGAAACCAAGTTTAATTGTTTTTATTGGTTTCAAGTTTTTGATAGTGCTGTGTTATTTATATATTGCCCAAACTAATTGAATTCTTCTTTAATCCAGAATCTAAATGAATTTGTAATTCTGAGACTTGGTTATGATACACGTCACTTTTTGAATTGAGAATGTGAAGTGTTATGTTGATTTGTTTCACTTGTTTGCTGTGTGCAGTTTTTCGCTTCAAAGAAGAGGAAACCCTTGTCCCCTGGTTTGAAATCTGGAAGAATTGAAAAAGATGCACAATCTAGAGTTGAAAGTTCGCCTAATACTAAAGGCACCTTGGACAATTACCTAAGAGTTTCTCAGGTTGGTGAGGATGCTGTTAGGCCTGCATGCGTCTCCTCTAGAAGAAATTTGGCTTTGGATATTGATAATTCGTCTAGAAATGAAAATGAAAGGCCATTGTCTGCTCAATTGCATTCTCAAAGTTCTATGTCATTTGAGAAGTTTCAGAATGAATTATCTCAGGGAACATCCAAGATGGATAATGCTGCAGTAGAAGATCTTTCAAATGATCATTTCCTTAGTGTCCAAGGCATGAAAAGTGCAGAATTGAAACAATTTGCAGCTGATTTTTTGTCTCTAAATAGCAGGTAATTGATTATCTCATTATTTAAATTATTTCAGAGAACCCATGGCATTTTGATTTCGAAATTCATTTGATGAAGGTCCACACCAAAAAGAAGAACATATTGCTATTTCTAATTCTATATCTTTTACAGTGGAGTTCAATCTCATATAAGTTCAGAGCCAAAGATGAATGATCATAAGAGACAAGGTGGTCCTTTGCTGAATGGAGAGGATAAAACATCAAATAAGAGGCATTGTGTTTTCAGTCAGTTGCAAACAGAAGGTGAAACTGAGTGCTTTAATAAGAAGAATCTTGAAGTAATTCAGTCTTCTTTGGCTATGGGAGTTGAAGAAAATGTTCTCAATCCTTCAACAGAAGTAAGAATTTTTCTACATGCTCTGTTCTGGATTCATAATTAAGGTTTTCCACATTGATCTTAGTTTTATTCCTTTCCCCCTGGCTAGGTAATTGTTAACAATCCTGTTGAGCTTCAAACAACTTTAAGAAAATGCAGTGGAGAATCCAAATCCATCCTGAATACAACCGAATTCAGCACCCCTGGTTCTTTGACTGTTAAAGCACGTATTCATCAGACACCACAATCAATGCGTGGGAGCTCCATGTTTTCACCTGGAGAAGCATTTTGGAATGAGGCAATTCAAATTGCTGATGGTTTATTTGCTCAAACTGATAACCTTTCTCCTCAAGTTGCCGAAGAAATTAATAATCAAATGAGTCAACACAAGACACATAATTCGTACAATTTGGGAAGTAAAAGCACTGTTGAAAAAGCCAGGGAAATGTTGGTTGAAGGTGTGAGCAGCATTCGACCTGCAGGAGTTGGTGAATCTTTGGAATCAGTAGGGGAGCACAAGAAAGAGATACAAAAAGAAGTCTCTCCCCTACCTGTCAAGCATCTTGATTTTTCATTTGAGGAAAAAAATATTGAGCTGCAAGATGCTGGGCTGCCTGAGTGTGATTCTGTAACCCACAAAAGTCCATCAACAACTAAAATGGCAACACATGGCCACAATATGGAGACAACAGAAGAGGTGCTTGAAGGACAAGGAACAACATCTGTTCTTGCAGTGGCCAAAAGGAAAGGGGCATTATCAATTGAAGATAATGACAGAATAAAGTCTATAACACCAGTTGATCAAATTAAGAACCCAACTAGTATTAGTACTAGTGTATCCACTGAAGCTGGTACCCCATCAAGTTCTGTTATACTTAAAGATCACTTAAGCCTTAAAAGTTGGCTTCCTGCAGAAATTTGCAGCATCTATAAAAGGAAAGGAATATCAGAACTGTATCCATGGCAGGTATTTAATGTATTTGAATTGCCTAAATCATACTTGCTCTTACCTCATTTTGTTTCCTTTTCCTTTTGATTTTGGGGTTCTTTAAAAGGTAATTGGAGGTGAAAAGGTGCTGGTTACTTTGATGAATTTTTAGTTTATACATTTGATTCCTTTGTATAAGAATTATTATTTTTTCATGTTAAACTAGATGGTGTGTTCTGCATTTATTGATGTGATGTACCTATGCTTGTGTTTTCAACGTTTATTCGCCTTGTTTGGCCTTGAAGTTTATTCTTTGGTTTTCCTTGAATCATATTCTATTGCTTATTGCTTTTGTTATTGAAATGTAGTTTTAAGTTGTGAGGCACTCTAAAAATTGATTGGTGGTTGGGAGTACAAGTTTAATGTATTCCATCTTTCAGGTTGATTGCCTTCAGGTAGATGGTGTGCTGCAGAGAAGGAACCTTGTATATTGTGCATCTACAAGGTATTTTGTGAGGAATCTGAACTCTTATTAAATTTTGTCATGTTTTTATTTTATTCTGCCATCTATTTGTTCCTCCATTTCCACAGCAATTTATTAAAAACATCTAAAATAAAGGAGGAGTTACAGAGGTTATTGCTTGACTCTTAGTTTGTTAATTTTTTTTCTCTCCCATCTGTGTTGCAGTGCTGGCAAAAGCTTTGTTGCAGAAATTCTGATGTTGCGTCGTGTCATATCAACTGGAAAAATGGCATTACTTGTGCTTCCTTATGTTTCAATATGTGCAGAAAAGGTGCTCCAATATATTCCACCTCAAATTAGTTGGTCCGGAAAACTAGTTCAATTGATGATCAACTATATTTGTTGCTTCAATTTGTTTCAGGCAGAACATCTGGAGGTCCTTCTTGAGCCACTGGGCAAACATGTACGAAGCTATTATGGAAATCAGGGTGGTGGAACTCTTCCTAAAGATACTTCTGTAGCTGTTTGCACAATAGAGAAGGCAAACTCTTTAATTAATAGACTGTTGGAAGAGGGTCGTCTGTCAGAGATTGGAATCATTGTGATAGACGAATTACACATGGTATTTTTCATCAAATTTATGTGTGTATTACTTTCATTTTTCAACTATTATTTATTTTTAACTGCTTTTTGTTCTTTTCTGTTTTCTATTGTGTGTATGTAATATTCATTTTTGAACAATTATATATTTTAATTGTTTTTTTGTCCTTTTTTGTTCACCTCTGCACATGTCTTTTTTCCACATTGTTGTTTCATGTTGTTCTGAGTTTTTCTCTTTCTCAATGGACCATGTCCAGGATCTCATGCTAGTTACTTTTGACAGGTTGGAGATCAGAGCAGGGGTTATCTTTTGGAACTTCTGTTGACAAAACTTCGTTATGCAGCTGGGGAAGCCATTTCAGAATCAAGCAGTGAAGAAAGTTCAGGCACCAGTAGTGGCAAGGCTGATCCTGCTCGTGGTTTGCAAATTGTTGGCATGAGTGCAACGATGCCAAATGTGGAAGCTGTTGCTGACTGGCTTCAAGTGAGTGGAAGTATCAAATCAGCTTTTTCCCCTTTCCCTTTTCCTCTGGTCTTGTTATCTTTGTCAGCTAAACATTTAATATCCATGAGTTCATGAAGCTTTTTTTTTGATACTGGTGTCTACAGGTAAGTGGTTAAAATAATGATCTAGGGATGGATAATTTGCATTTGATATGTTTCAAATTGATCTCCTACTTTATTATGCAGAAAATAATTCATTTAATTTTAACAAATCTGCATGCAGGCAGCACTGTACCAGACTGAATTTCGACCTGTTCCACTTGAGGAGTATATTAAAATTGGGAACATGATTTACAACAAGAAGTTGGAAATTGTTAGAACAATTCATAGAGCAGCTAACCTTGGTGGAAAAGACCCAGATCATGTTGTGGCACTGTGCAATGAGGTCAAGACTCTTTGCCCTTTAACTTTCTTTCAATTTTTTAAAGACTCCTTTTCCAGTGAGGTTTTATCTTTCCATTTTTTTGAAGTTAAACAATTACTAATGGTGAGAATGTAATTCAGGTTGTTCAAGAGGGTCATTCAGTATTAATATTTTGCTCCAGTCGAAAAGGATGTGAATCAACTGCACGTCATGTTTCGAAATTCCTCAAGAAATTTTCTTTTTCTGTCCCTGATGATAATGGTGAGTTTGTTGATATTACTTCAGCTATTGATGCCCTAAGAAGATGTCCTGCTGGATTGGATCCTATATTGGAAGAAACCCTTCCATCCGGTGTAGCATATCATCATGCTGGCCTCACGGTACTTGTTCTGCTACCATATTTAGTTTTGCATTGTACTTGTGCTTGGTTCCTGTAGAATGATATTGCTGGTTAGTGATGGTCAAAATGGTACCTTTCTTGCTCCTATGTTTGTTAAGTTTTTTGCTTTGCTAAAGAAGGCCAATGTGTTGTTTCATTTTCTGAAGGTTGAGGAAAGAGAGATTATTGAAACCTGCTACCGCAAAGGCCTTGTTCGTGTTTTAACTGCCACATCAACTTTAGCTGCTGGAGTTAACCTGCCTGCTAGGAGAGTCATTTTTCGACAACCGAGGATTGGTCTTGATTTCCTTGATGGGACAAGGTACAAACAGATGGCTGGTCGGGCTGGTAGAACAGGAATAGATACAAAGGGAGAAAGTGTATGTCACTTGTTTTATTAATTTTTTTAGTATCTTTTCCCTTTCCGATGATATGCCAGTTTTCTCATTCTAATGATTTTTGACAGTGTTTAAAGCTGCTATTTTTGACATTTGATTGATTTCCTCTAATAAACAGGTGCTTATTTGCAAACCAGAAGAGGTCAAGAGAATTAGTGGACTCCTTAATCAGGGCTGCTCACCTTTGCAATCTTGTCTATCTGAAGATAAGAACGGAATGATTCATGCAATTCTGGAAGTTGTGGCTGGTGGGATTGTTCAAACTGCAAATGATATTAATCGATACGTTAGGTGTACTCTTCTCAATTCTACTAAACCATTTGAAGATGTGGTGAAGTCAGCACAGGATTCTCTTAGGTGGTTGTGCCACAAGAAATTTCTTGAATGGAATGATGATACCAAGTTATATGGTACCACACCTCTTGGACGTGCATCTTTTGGCAGTTCCCTCTCCCCGGAAGAGTCCCTGGTGGAGTTCCTTACTGTTTATTTCTGTTATGTTACGTTTTAATACTTTTTTTTTTCTTTTAATGTTCTATACTTGTTTTGTTGAGATCAATTATAATTATTTAATGGTTTCAGATTGTGTTGGATGATCTTTCAAGGGCAAGAGAAGGCTTTGTGCTTGCATCTGATTTGCATTTAGTTTATCTAGTAACTCCAATAAATGTTGATGTTGAACCCAATTGGGAGTTGTATTATGAACGCTTCATGGAGTTGCCTCCTCTTGAGCAGGTAATTTGCTTCATGATTCAGATGGTATTTGGAATATGTTTGGCATTTTGTTGTTCTGTTGTGGCAGCCATTTTAGCCTCATCATAGGCAAATCTTAGGAGCTGATACCTTAACTTTACTCCAAAAAACTGTGAACTGGAACATTAGTAAATGTTTTATTAGACTTTGTTGTCTTTTTCAAAGCTAACTTCATGAGCATAAGTACTTGAAATTCTTGAATACAGTCATATCATCTGATTCATAGAAAGAGGGATTTCTTGAGTAACAATTATGGTTTAACTCAATTGCTGATATGGTAAGCAAGCTAGTTTCTTTTTACAAACACTGGTATCTTCTGACCTGCATTTCTGGTTGCAATTATATCATAATGGGTTGCCTTGTCTTCTAAATTTAATGGATTGCAGTCAGTTGGCTATCGAGTTGGAGTGGCTGAACCCTTTTTGATGCGCATGGCACATGGTGCACCTATACGAACTTCAAATAGATCAAGAGACAGTCTGAAAGGGCTGCATGGAAATGAAAATCAAATTGGGATCAGCAAAAACAATATGCTTTCAGATGAGCAGACCCTTCGAGTGTGCAAAAGATTTTATGTTGCTCTAATGTTGTCAAGATTAGTACAGGTCTCATTATCATTCTTATTCTATTCTATTTGTTAATTGTAGGACATATTAATGTTTTTCATGCATAGATCCTTTTATAAATGCTTTTAGTTGTCTAATTGTATTCCTATTTATATACCATGCAAATAAAATGCAAGTACCTATACACATATTTGTAGGTCCATGTTTATGGCTTGGCAAATGTATATGACTAACAAAACACCTTATCTGGTCTTTCTGTTCTGTAATTATTAAGCATAGTAGTTCTCTTTATTTGGTTCCTATCAATTTACTTTTGTAAATTCTGAATGAAGGAAGCACCTGTATGTGAGGTTTGTGAAGCCTTTAAAGTGGCAAGAGGCATGGTTCAAGCCTTACAAGAGAATGCTGGAAGGTTTGCATCTATGGTTTCTGTGTTCTGTGAGAGACTTGGGTGGCATGATCTAGAAGGCTTGGTTGCAAAGTTCCAAAATCGAGTTTCCTTTGGAGTGAGGGCAGAGATAGTAGAACTGACCACTATTCCGTATGTGAAGGTAATTATGTTCTTCAAGTTGTTTTCTTAAGGTCTGTAAACTTGGCATTAAACCAAGTCAACTGCATTTCTTTTGATGTTTGGTAGAACATCAGTGGTAAGTTTTTCACATTTTACTTGTAAGTTGTAACTTTTATCATATGATTTATAGGGATCACGAGCTAGAGCACTTTATAAAGCTGGCTTGCGCACACCTCTGGCGATTGCTGAAGCATCAATTGCTGAGATTGTCAAAGCTCTGTATGAATCTTCATCATGGGCTGCTCAAGGTGAATCGACTACTGTATTCTATTTTGTGATACTCTTATTTTGGTCTGCATTTACTTTCTTTTTCCCTTTTTCCTTGCCCTTAGCTTTGCTTCCAGAATAAAATCATGCTTTTCTGGGGTTACTTATATTTTTTCACTGGCTGGTGGAATGATTAAAAATGGATCCATGTGGCCAACTTATGTAGCTTTGGCTCTAAGGCATAGCTAGAGTATAGTTGAATCATTTTCCATGAAGAAGTTTCCTTGGTTATCCTCATTAACTGCTATCCTGTTTCATTCTTTTTTTAAAATGTCATAATTTGACCCTATAATTATAGAAAGTTCAGCACAACGACGCATGCAGTTGGGAGTGGCCAAGAAGATCAAGAATGGTGCACGGAAAATTGTTCTTGATAAAGCTGAAGAAGCCAGGATTGCTGCCTTCTCAGCTTTTAAATCACTTGGATTTAGTGTCCCACAGTTCTCAAGTCCAGTATTATTGAGTGCTAGCAGTCCAAGTGTGCGAGGAGTTGCAACCAATGTTATGGATGACTCTCTTGGCAGCTTCATTGGAGTTGAGGAAATAGGACATGTTTCAGCTAAGCCAATGATTGGAGGAAATGAGTATTTGGTTAAAATTTCTTCAGAAAATGAAGGAAAAGAAACCTCTATTCCTAAATTAGTGGCTTCAACTCCTAATGTAAACTCAGCTAGTGCTTTTCAATGTAATTTCAATGCTGAAAATCATGAAGTTCCTGTTGAGTTACCTGTAATTGAAAGTGAGGAGCTTACTGCAAATGTTCCTCATACCAAAAGTGTAGTCACTGGAACTGATATTGGAACCATAATATGTGTTGGAGATCACATTCAAGGAGTACAAGATCAGACCAAGCAAGATCTTTGTCTTGGCAGCAAGGGCAGTTTTGGCGAAAATGGTCCGATAAATGCAACTAGTATTCCTGGTGGTTTTGATTCTTTCTTGGAGCTGTGGGAGTCTGTACAAGAATTCTGTTTTGATATTCATTACAACAAACGATCAGAAGTTAACTCCACTGCCCCCTTTGAGATACATGGCATAGCAGTATGTTGGGAAAATTCTCCTGTGTATTATGTTAATCTCCCCAAGGATTTATCATGGTCTAACAGCAGAAGAAATGATTTCCCTTCCTTGTCTGCATCTAATTTTAACTGCAGCAATCTGTCTCCTGAGCATTGTTTGGAGTTGGTCAAAGACAGATGGAAAAGGATTGGTGAAATAATGGGAAAAAGGGGTGTTCGAAAAGTTACTTGGAACTTGAAAGTTCAGATTCAAGTGCTTAAAAGTCCTGTAGTTTCCCTTCAAAGATTTGGTTTTATGAATCTTGAGGGGAAAGATACAGGTATTAAACTTGTAGAAAACTCATACTTGCCCTTGCCTTTGGTTCTTGTAAGGGATGGAATTGACATGTGCATTGTGGCATGGATTCTCTGGCCGGATGAGGGGAGAAGCTCTAGTCCAAACTTGGAGAAGGTAATTCCTTTTTTTTTTCTTTTTTTTTTTTCTGATTTGAGTCTTAGAGAGATAAGTTAAAGATTTTCACCATGCTAATAATTTTCTCATTTACATTTTAAGCATTTCTTTGGCCAAATTGTAATTGAATGGTTGAGTTCTTTAGTAATACTTTGTGTTTAGTGTTTCATTATTGTTCAAGCTGGCTTATGGAGTTGAAATTATGATAATAATAGGAAGTTAAGAAAAGATTATCCAGTGAGGCTGTAGCAGCTGCTAATCAGTGTGGCAGATGGAAGAATCAGATGCGGAGAGCTGCACATAATGGTTGTTGTCGTCGAGTTGCTCAAATACGTGCCCTGTCTTCTGCTCTTTGGAAGTTACTGATCTCTGAAGAACTTATTGAAGTGCTTTTGAATATTGAAACTCCATTGGTAGATTCCTTATTCTTCTTTTCTATCAATATTTGATGGAGAAATATCAAACCGTGCCTGTTAAATGTTATTCTCTTTTCATGTTAATTGCCTCTGCCACAAAAAGCTTTTGCTGCCCTTCCTGTGGCCAAGGTTGTCATTATTAGTTTATCCCTTATACATGCTCTGGCATCTGCATCTGGTTCAGGAATGTATATAAATAAATACATGACTCTTCTATCTATATCAGGTCAACGTTCTTGCTGAAATGGAACTTTGGGGAATTGGCGTTGATATGGAAGGATGCCTTTGGGCACGTAATCTGTTAGGGAAGAAGCTTAGGTGTCTTGAGAAGGAAGCTTACAAGCTGGCTGGCATGACATTTTCCTTGTATACAGCAGCTGACATTGCAAATGTGCTGTATGG